CTAAACCAAAACTTGGTTTCTTTCTCGATTCACTAATGTGAAATTACATGAAAGAAAATGCTAGGCTCTGAGAGTGATTTGTGAAACATGCATATATGACTCGAAAAAGAACATGATGGTAAATCTCCTATGAAAACATGACATCTTTCCTAGAACAAATAATGATTTTAAGCACTAGATTGAAAAAGTTAGTACAATTGTACTAATATCAGTTTAAATCAGACTAGTTGTATATTCAAATCCCAAACATGGATGGATTCCAATCAAAAGGTATGAAGTGATAACGAATTGTCATTAATATGTGTAAATTGAAAGCATAATTAAATTGACATCAGTTAACTCTATGGTCTACAGATTAGATAGTGAAGTAGATACGAAAACTAACATTTAGTTCAAACAATACAAGTGTAAGTTGTGTGCAAAATAAACAAACAATATAATAATAAAGAAACTAAATTAATTACTCTATTAGTATAGTATTTTGGTTCAAAAATTTTATCACATAGGTTGTGTGCAAAATCAGTCATCAATTCTACATACAATCAAGTAGTCCGTTAGGGCTTGGCAATCATAACTATGGTAAAAAAATCGAAAGGACCTGGAAAATTTTGACTTTTATTATGAATTTCTAGCAAAATCAATATGGAGATATGGAATGGGAAATTAATTTGACTTTAGGCAGTAATTAAAAATTCGGTTCTTATGCCCTAAGCGATTTAGGAAGTAATTGAAAATAAATTTGTTCTTATCCATCGCAATAATATAAGAATGGGAATTTGACAACTAATTGAACAAAAAGCCCATAAGTTTTTTTAATTACCTTCGTTGAAGGGGCTGCAGAATATGGCGATGTGGAGGAAGTTAGAGAAACTTGGCAAAATAACATTCTTTATGAAGAGGGGAAAGAGTTTTGAACATGAGGAAAAATGTTGATTCATAACTGTGGTTGTAGATAAATGACTCCAAATATATATATATATATATATATATTTCTCCCATTCGGCAAATTATCTTTTCTGTTTTATGCTCCTCCTATAATTCTCATTTCTTCTTGGGTAAAATAGTGGATGGTGGTTGTAGATGTGTTAATGGAGATGATATATGGGGAGGGTTTTGTTGCGTAGAGGATGATTTCAACTGTGGTGATGAGTGGTCGGCGGTTTGTGTATGGTGATCGTGATGTCAGCTGATGATGTGAGTTAAGGAGTTGAAGGCAACATGAATTTGACTTAATATAACTGATCCAAGAGTTAAGGGAAGTTCCATAAATATCAGATTTTACTGTTTGTTGATAAAATACTTGTATATAAAATTTGAAATTACTCCTATAGATTTGATTGGTTTACACTTTCACACAATATTTAAAGTTCATATATATATATATATATATATATATATATATATATATATATATATATATATATATATATATATATATATATATATATATATATATATATATATATGAACTTTAAATATTGTGTGAAAGTATGAATCAATCAAATTTATAGGAGTAATTTCAAATTTTATACACAAGTATTATATATATATATATATATATATATATATATATATATATATATATATATATATATATATATATATATATATATATATATATATATATATATATATATATATATATGTTCAGGTTCATTTGAGACCATGTTAATTTTGTGAGACCGTGATATCAAATCTAAAAATAATTTTAAAATGTAAAATAAAAGGAAAAATCCAAAAAAAAAAATTAATTATTATTTTCGGAACATTATTTACCTAAAAATAATAAAAAAAATTACCGTTTTTTTTTTAATATGTGAAAAATTCTAATAGAATATTACACTGTACATTTCTAATATGATTTTTAGAATGTTTAGAATATTCTTCTAGATTTGTCAGATATGTAGAATATTCTAAATATTCTACTAAAATAAGTAAAAAATGTATTTTTTTTGTATTTGTTTTTTATTTTTTTGGTATTTTTTATTTTTTCTGGAAAATATATATTCCGAAAATAATATTGGAAAAAAAATTTCAAAAATTTTCAATTGTTTTGCATTTTAAAAATGTTTTTGTTTTATCTACGAAATGAGTGGCTAAGATTGCGTCTCACGGTCTCACAAAATTAGGCTGTCTTACATGAACCTAACCCTATATATATATATATATATATATATATATATATATATATATATATATATATATATATATATATATATATATATATATATATATATATATATACTAGGTGTGAGACCCGTATGTTATATGTGTTTTTTATAAAACAAAAAATTAAATATGAAAGTTTAAATAAAATTTTATTTAAATTTGAAAATTACATTTGAAATTTAAAAGGAAACATATTAAATACTATATGACTACTAATATTGTAATTTATTAGTTACTAGTTGTGAAACCTGTATATTATACAGGTTAATTACAACATAATGTTAAATAGGAGCGATTAAATGAGAAGTTTATTTGAATTTGATATATGAAATAAGTGAAAATTATGAAGAAAAAACATGCAGAAAATAAATTAATTAAAATTATGTGTTTAATTGTTAGACTCGTATACTAAACGAGTTATTATAATAAAATGTAAAATACAAAGGTTTAAAGTGTAAATTTATTTGAAATTGAAACTGAAATTTCAAATTTCAAATTTCAAATTTGAAATTAATCGTTATTATAGTAGGTTTAATTTATGGAAGCTAAATTAATAATAGAGTGGAAATGAATAATGAAGTAATTGACAAGTGGAAAATAAATATATTTCAAAAATTATGACAAAATGACATGTGGCCAATTAAATGAGAGAATGACAAGTAGCAATAACATTTTCATTTATTATGGTAGATTTCAAATAAGCCAATTATTAATTGAGGTGTAAATATGATGTGTTAATTAAGAAAATATTTAAAAAAATAAGAAAATGACAAATAGAAAAAAATAATTATTCAAAAATACCAAAAAATGACATGTGTCTAAGTTAATGAGAGAGTGACATGTGTCAAAATTATTTTCATTTATTAGAGAGAGTATATATATATATATATATATATATATATATATATATATATATATATATCATTATATACTTATAAAGGAAGCATTTTATCTTTGACCACATTCATTTGAAACTCCCATGACTTTTCAATTTCTTTCTAATAATAATTATAATTTGGATAATTAGGTTAAATAAATATCAAACCAAAAGTGTAGTCATATATAAACTAAATTTCAATATTAAAATAATATTTTTATTTCTACTTATAAAGTTATGTTTTTTTTTAACTTTTAACATATTATACTTTTATTAGTTTTAATGTATTCTTGAATGTAAACCATTATCATTTTACAGATAAAATTTTGGAAGATAATTTGTATAAAATACTTAAATTATTGATTTTAATATAACATTACATGGTCAACTTAAATATAAGTTTTAGTTTAACTTAAACAACCCAAATAATATTTTATAAATAGTTAAATGTAACATCCCAAAATTCAAGACTAAAAAAATTTCTTTTAATACAATATTACTTAAGGTAAAGATGTCGATTCAAAGCATAATCAAAGTAATAGTTTTCAAAACACATGTTCATTATCAGAGTACTACATCCCAGGCTGTCTAAAATATGGTGTGTGCCATGCGATCATCCCGAGCTCCATCATCCGCTACCGGAAGTACCTGAAACCAAAACTGAAAACCGTAAGCACGAAGCTTAGTGAGTTCCCCACCCTACCACATACCATGCATAGCACATACTGCACATACTGGGCCACGCCTGCTATCTTGGGCCTCGCCCGATACAACGGCCCCGCCGCTCCAGGCCCCGCCTGGCTTCGAGCCCCGCTCGGATACAGATCTGTTCACTTAGGCCTCGCCTGTCACAGGGCCCCGCCCACTAACATATAATAGCTCATACACATATCACATAACATCACATAAGTTAAACATATACTAATAGCTCTTGCTCTAAGGCCTCGCCTATCTCTGGACCCTGCCCGTGTCCTGCTACTGATGAGTCATGGAACCTCGTCCATACTCCTGCTGATAGTGAGATACGGGCCCAGCCCACCCTCACTCTTTTCCTAACTTGGGCCTCGCCCCTGGACTGCTGCTACTGAGATGTGGAACACCATCCACACTCTGCTATTGGTGAGATACGGGACCTCGCCCACACTCACCTCCCTACCAGGCACATACAAGTATCACACAGACAAGTATAAACTATCACAAAAACCAATTCTTGGGCACCCGCCCTTTGTCATTGGACCTCGTCCGAATATCATACTAGTATACTGTGCCTAGGGCTAACCCCCGGGTCTTCTACTCATAACTACATGGGCCGGCATTGTGGCCTTAGACCCATTCACACAAAGGGAAACTCACCTGCACTGGCTGAACTTGCTGATGATCCCACTAGCTGCTGCCCAACCACTCACTGAACTCCTGCTCTACTTGCTCCCCGAGCTATCAATATTAATGCAACACTTAGTATAACTGACCCCCGACAGTTAACCAAGTCAACTCTAGTCCAAGTCAAAGTCCTGGTCAAAGCCAACCTTCCAGGTCAACCCTACTCGCCGAGTCCACCTACTGACTCGCCGAGTTCTTATGCTCAAAGTCCTTCTAATAGCGACTTGACTCGCCGAGTCAACCCCTGACTCGCCGAGTCTACTGATTCCCGAATCCTAACCTGATCAACTTACTGAGTCCTGGCTCGACTCGCTGACTCGAGTCTTAACTCGAAGGGTTTGGGACCACGCGGCCTGACTCGTCGAGTCCAAGAACAGACTCGCCGAGCACAAGGCAATCTCCAACCAACTCACCGAGTAGGAATATCCAAATACTGAATCTGTTAACAGTGTCTCGGCCCATATATGTAGTTCATGTCTTCTTGCATGAATATCTTCTTGGCCTATGAACGGCACTGGAGTAGGAATATCCAAATACTGAATCTGTTAACAGTGTCTCGGCCCATATATGTAGTTCATGTCTTCTTGCATGAATATCTTCTTGGCCTATGAATTACAGCATAAAGCATACATCGTCATCTTTACTTCTTAGCATGCCTCTTAATCGAGGGTAATGACGTACTCTTGGGAGCTTTTATATTGTTTTCTCCGGTTCAACCAATATCGCCGGACATACAGCCTCTAATTTGCATTAATCAATAAAAACATTAAAAAGATCCATATTCAGATGTATCATATGTCTTGATGACTTGCAAAAAGATCCATGCAACATAAAAACAGCCTTTATATTAAAAAGAGACTTAGATGAGCATGCATCCAGCATATGGAACAGAAGGTTTCCGAGACAAGCCGAACTGATTGAACTCAGATGCAAAGCCTAAGCACGAAAAATAAACAACAAATTCAAAAAGCCACAAATAATTCCAATGTGGATTTAACCCAATGCATAGTCTATATAAAAAGGTATTAACCAAATGGTTTTTATATAGTAGTCAGGTAGAATTGCCTTGAGTGTGTTGACTGCTTCCAGATCATCGGAACTCCTAAATGCAGGAAACGGTCCAAACGTTATTATCGATAATTGTCCAATAGAAAAAATGGAAAAAGGAAATACAAGATTAGCATGCATCAATATGTATTAGTAGGATTTCAAATCTCGCTCTTCAATTCTGTGATGGTACAACGCAAACTCATAAGACCATGTGCTGCCTTCCTTCACTTTAAATATCAAATTTTGTTTCATATTCTACAATTTAAACACTGATTCTTGTTGAATTTATAAGAGACTGGTATTTTCTGATTCAATTATTGTCGGATCAAAGTTCAAAAATCCGATCAAAATAAAACAGTTTATGGACGAAGAAGAAGAAGAAGAAGAAGAAATACTTCTTACAACAGTTCTCTGCGAATCGGCTCCTGCTCTCGGTGCCTGTGTTATTCAAGGTTTGTAGGTAGATATCTTGGTCAGAAAAACACAGGATTGAATTCAAGAAGTGATATGGATCCAACAATACGCAGGCCTTTCAAGGAAGAAATGCTGTGTGGAAGACGAGTTATTCCTGTACACTTTATATTTAACTCTTCTAAACACTCTAAACTTCCAAGTTCCTCTGGCAATTTCTCCACCTGATTGCAAAAGGGGAGATCTAAATATCTCAAACGTTTCATCTTACAGATGCTGTTTGGAATATGCTCTAGAGAGATACACTTTGTTAGGATCAGCTTCTCTAAACATTCCAACTTGCCAAGATCCTCAGGTAACTTCTCAAGAAGCACACAAGATTCAAGTTCTAGAGATTTCAAATGCTTCAACATGCAAATGCTATCCGGAAGACATCTAATACGTGCAGACAACAAATTTAGCTTCTCTAAACATGCTATTTGGCCAATATCGTCGGGTACCTCCTCAAGAAGCAAACAAGATCTAACTTTGAGAGATCTCAAACGTCTCAACATATAGATGCTATCTGGAAGACGTCTAATACCTGTGGACAACAAACTTAGCTTCTCCAAACATTCTAATTGGCCAAGATCCTTGGGTAACTCTTCAAGAAGCCGACAAGATTCAAGTTTGAAAGATCTCAGATGCTTCAACATGCATATGCTATCTGGAAGCCGTGTAATATGAGTAGACAACAAGCTTAGCTTCTCCAAACATTGTAACTGGTCGAGGTCATTGGGCACCTCTGGAATACAGCCATGGAATGTAAGTTCTCTTAGGTGTTTTAAACCACAAATGCTTCCTGAAACACTCTCAAGTTTTGTGCAAGGCTGAAGATTTAGAGAGACACTCTTTTGACCATTTTCGGTCGATGGGGGATGTTTTTCAAGATAAAAACAGGTAAACTGTAGCTTTGGCAGATTATCACGGGAGTACCTTGGGAATTTTCCCAAGGACTCCACAATCACGTCTAGCTTAGGTAAAGAAAGAAGCTGAAGCTCAAGCGGTTCCAATTGTTTGATAAACGAAAAAGATCTGAACCTTGAGCAACCAATTAAGTTCAAGTATACAAGCTTTTCTAGAGATCCAGCAGGCGCTTGAAGTTCTCTCAAATCATAACATCGATTAAGGTTTAACCTCTCAAGATTCGGAGTCATATCAAGGTTGAGGGTCCTCAACTTTGAGAAACTAAGGTCCAGGAACCTGAGCTTCTTAAGAACCTGTCATATGCAAAAAAGAACAAATATAAGATAAGATGAGTATTGCAGTATGAATGGACATCATTTAAATGAATCATCATGCAAAAGACATATCAACCGTTGTACCTTTCTTTCCCCGCTTTCCCAAAGTTTTGTGATTCTGCTGCTAGGCAGTTCAAGTCCAACAAGGTTATTTGCTTTAAATGCTTGTGGTAAAGACAAAACAGGGTAACCCTCCCAACTCAGAAACTGTAACGCATTTGGAAAGTATTGTTTAACTTGATCAAACTTCCGATGGGTACCAAAATAGTCATCATCTATCTCAGAGAGCAAAAGAACTCTAAGTTTCTGCAGATTTCCAAGCCCTTTCATAACGATTTCAGGACTCAGTTCCACCTGCTCCAGTCGTATACACGTTGTCGCATCAGTACCCTATAATAGTCCAAAAGCAGCCACCATAAAACTTGTGTCATAACTAATGAAAATGTGTTAGTTTTCTCCAAAATACAAGTAAATTTTATCCTTACCGCATTACGGGACAGCATATCTTCAATTTCCTCGCGAATCCAGAGCCGGCTGTGTTTGTTGGGCTCACGGGGGTGCGATCGCCGAACGATATTCCTGCCCAATTCTTCTATCCTGTCATGCATGCTCAAACGCTGATTTGAGATACTTATGAGAGATTTTTGCTCAAGTACTGTTAAACCATATATAGCATGTAATCCACAGCTTTCAAGTATTCTAATTGCATCCTCTTTCTGCAACCCCTTCATGAAACATGCAACATCTAGAAATATTTCCTTGTGATCATCCTCTAGGCTGATATAGCTTAGTTCCAATTTTTTTAGAGTTTCTTGACTCGGAATCGTTTCTAGTCTTGTTAGTGCATCCATCCATAGAAACTCTTCTTTACCACGCAGAAACGAACCCAATACTTTGATCGTTAGAGGAAGACCAGCAGCATAATTAACAACTTTCTTTGACAGCCCTTCATACCCTTGAATTGGAATAGATCGCCCAAATGCATGCCTACTAAAGAGGCAAATTGCTTCCTCATCCGACAAGAAACTGACATTATGAATCATATTCACTCTGTGTGCTGTCAGCACTTGCTTGTCTCTTGTTGTGATGATGATTCTACTTCCGCCCTTAAACCAATTAGTTGCACCGGCTAACGCCTCAAGCTGGTCAGCATTATCAACATCGTCTAGAACAACAAGAACTTTTTTACCAGGAAGACGCATTTTCATCATGTGTTTCCCGTCATGAACACTGCTTACATCCATGTCTTCATCCTTAAATATATCTAAAAGGACTTGTTTTTGCAACCAACGCATACCCGACACTCTTGAAACTTCCCTGATGTTCTCTACAAAGCTTTTACCTTCAAAATGAAAAGATACTTTATCAAAAATAGCTCGGGCCAAAGTTGTCTTCCCAATGCCCCCCATCCCCACGATCCCTATCATGCGAACATCATTGTTCCAACCAAGCCCTAAAGATGACTCCAGGTCTAGCATCCGGGGTTCCATGCCTATTAGATTTTCATCATTGCTCAAATAAATAGGGCGTAACTTGAGTAAAATTTGTTCAACAATTTCATTGATGACTTCAGCTTCTTCCCTGTAGAGTAAAAAAGCTTTCTCAAGATCCCACATCAAAAATTCGTTTTAGGTCTATAACATACAATCCTCTGCCTAGTTATTCCATGTTTCATCTATCTAGAAGACTCAATTTTGAGTTATAATTTGACAATACAACATGAAGATGACCTCTCTACATCACTAGAAATACACACACCAAAGAATAGTAATGCAGATGTATGATTAAGAAATTAGGTACCTGTTTCTCATATCCCACCCAACAAGATGCCCCGCTTCTTCCACCGCCTCTTCCCATTTTCCAACCTCTTCGTTGCTATGCTTCGAGAAAGCTCCTCCAACTTCCCCAATTTGTTTACGGATTTCCGACAGATCCACGTCATAATAGATTGGGTAAGCAATATGTTCGATCTTTCTCTGGCACTCCATAATCTTTTCAAGTTCCTTCAAGCACCAAGACGAAGAAGCATAGTTTTTGGAGAAGACAATGATAAAGAGCTTTGACTCTTCAATTGCTTTGAATAACTCGTCTATCTGTTTTCCTTTCTCAAATTCCTCGTTATCCCTGAAGGTGGGAATACTTAGCTGCTTAAGAGAACCGTAAAGACGATCAACAAAGGTCCTACGTGTGTCCACTCCTCTAAAGCTCAGAAACACATCATACTTAAAACTCTTCTGATTGGATGATGTTGAAGATAACGCCATTAAAATCCTCTGAAAAGGTCGTCTTATATAAATCGAAGCTTTCTTTGGGAAATTCCTAAGAAATAATTGCAAAGAGACTACGAATTAGACGCGTATGTGTGAACCACACAACATAATAAGCCGCGAGGAAGATCGGAGGAAGTATGAAATGGGTGAGATGTGACAGCCCCAAGCCCCAAGCCCCAACCATATATTTCCTCCGCTATTAGCTTTTTTAACTTCTAAATATTAGTATAAAGACAAAATTTCAAAAATGGTCCCTATGGTTTTCAAAAATATCAAGTTTAGTACCTAAGTTTAAAAAATTTCACAGATGGTCACTGTGTTTCAAAACTTTTAATATTTGGTCATTTCGGCTCACTTCGTAAGCATTTCACCGTTAACTAATTTTTTAATTTTATATTGCAGGGGTAATTTCATCATTTTAGTTGTAACCTTCTCTCTTAAAAAGAAATTGCATGTCCGATTTTTGGGCAAACCCTTTACCTTTATCAGTCGTCATCTCTCTTCTCCCTTCCACTATTGCTCGATTGTTGCACCCTTCACGACATCCAATCGCTTCTGATTCAAAGATGGTGACTTGCAGATGTGGGAATGAAGCAATGAAGATCATTTCATGGACGGATTGTAACCCTGGAAGACAATTTTGGAACTGTACAACATATAGGTTCCTTCGATGATCTGATCCTCCTATGTGTGCTAGGGCATTGGTGGTGATTCCAGGTTTGATAAGATCAATGAACCGATTGGAAGAGAGGGTTGCCATTGCAAGTGCAGAATTGCGGAACTACCAGCTGATGTTGTTTTGTTCATAGGTGTTTTTTTTGTATTATTTTAATCTCTAAGTGTCTTGTGAAGGTTTGGATGGTAATGGAGTTTTGGTTTTTGGTTTGTAACCATTGCAGGGAGTTTTTTTTATTTTAATCGAATAGGGGGTTTTTTTTGCTTTCAGTTTATGTAGGGGGTTTTGGAATTGGTGTTGTTGTATTTGGTTTGTGTATCAGATTAATGTGTAATGGAGTTATAATGGTAATGGTAATGGAACGTAGTTTGTAATAGTTGATTGTTCAATTTCTTGAATGTTTTTGAAATGCAATTGTTAAGTGTATTGTAAATGCTCATTTAAGATGGTTTTGATTTGCAATTGAAATGTACAATGTTATTAATTGATCTGTGAAGGGTAGTACACAAAACAGATTAATTCATTACCAAAATGTGTATACTGCATACACACCATTACATGCAAATTTTTAAAGTTCTTAACACAACCATCATACTAAGTTTCAAAAGACCTACAACAGAAGCTTGACTTAAGTTTCAAAAGACCTACAACACAAGCATTACATGTAATTCCTGAAAAGTTCTTAACACATCTTCAAACAATTACACATGACTTTAGTTTTAAAAGACCTACAACACTAGCACCAAGTCCAACTACTAAAAATACTTTTCAGCCCCCTCCAACTTCACCACTACCTCCCTACCCTTTACATGTTCTGGAATTGTGCCCTTTGTTATGACACTTAGAACAAGTGACTGCCAGATATTTCCTGTTCAATCTACCAGCTTGGCTGTTTGGCTCATCAACACCCATTCTTCTCTTCTTCTTAGGCCTTCCAACCTACACATATTGATACACTATAGTTAAAAATAAATTCATTCCATGTTCACATGTTTATTATATAATTGGTTTACTTGAAATACAAACCTGTGTTTTATGTTTTGGTGGAAGTAAAGTGAATAGGCAGTCACTTTTAGGCCACATTGAACGTCCATTCAATGGATCAATTTTGTTGAAATACATGGCTTTCCATGTTGATAACCTATATAGCAAGGATAGACCCATTCATCAACATATGGGGCATTTTCACCATTTTCAATTTTGTCCCATATAGCACAAACAGCATGTCTACATGGGAAACCTGTAATCTCCCAAAACCTACAACTGCAACTTTGGACATTCAAGTTTACCACATACTGGTCTTGCCATGTGCTTGCCACTTGGTACTTTCCTGCCCCATTGTATTTAGCCACATACTTAGCTGTATCAGTCTTAATCTTTTCAAACACTGTAGTTGCAGTAGGGGTTAGAAGTCCTTCACACTTATCTATTTCCTTTTTCACCACACATAACCTCTTCATGAGATACTCTCTAATATACTCTAAGCAAGTAATAATAGGTTTATCCCTACCTTCATCTAGCTTAGAATTGAATACCTCACAAAGGTTATTCAATAAATAATCAGTATGTGCGCTTCCTGAATAATAGATATTAAGAGAAGACAATTACACATATAGTAAACACACAACAGGGAAGATTAACATTTATCAATAAATTTCTAGAAACTTACCACTAAAGTGAGATTTAGCCCAAGTGTTTGTCGGGATCTTACACGCCCAAGCATGAGCCTCTTCATTGATCTTCTTCAACTCATCCATTGCTCTGTTAAAATGATTAACTTTGTTGCTCTACCACACTCCCAAAGCTGGTCACTTAAGTCTTTTCCTTTCCACTGTTTCTTCATGTTTTCCTGGATATGCCTCAAACAGAACCTGTGTTCTGCACTAGGGAATACCTTCTCTATTGCGAGTATTATTCCCTAAACAAAAGTTAATGTATGCAACATCAGTTACCCAAATGTATTTAGAAATGGTACTAAAAAAAGTTAGGTGATACACACCTTTTGTCTATCAGAAATGAATGTAACGTTTGAATTTGCTCCTAGATCCAGATCTTCTCCTAACAATTCCAAGAACCATGTCCAACTACTTGTTGATTCTGTCTCTACCACTGCATATGTCACAGGGTATATGTCATTGTTTGAGTCCAACCCTACAACAGTTAACACTTGCCCAAGGTAAGGGCCCTTCATGAAAGTGCCATCCAGACCTAGAAAATCTCTTAAGCCAAATTTGAATGCTAACTTCAATGCACCCAGACAGACATATGTTCTTCTAAAAGTTCTTGTGGTAATAGATAGGGAGGTTTCTGGATACACATCAATCCGAACTGTTGTACCAGGATTAGTGTTGAGTAGCTCCAACACATAATCCCTCAAAATCCATACTTTACTTGGTAGTCCCCACTAATGATACGTTCAGCCATTGACTTTGCCCTAGCAACCTTTCGCAATGACATTCCTACCTCTAGTTTCTTGCACAACTCTTCGTGTAAAGCTTTCACTGGAATTTTAGGGTTACTCTGAATTTGTTGAACAATTAAGTTTGCTACGTATCTGGAAGTGCAAGCTTTAACCGCCCTTGTTTGCAAAACATTTATGCTCATCCTGTACTGTTTTTACCAACCAATCCTGATTTTCATTAGCCCTCGATATTTGGACTGCCCATGGACATGTACCTTTATTGGCAATTACATTTTTACCCTTGCACTTTGCCCTACTTCTAGTTGAGGGCCCACCACCATCAACTACTTTAGATGGCTTACTTACAACACCTTTACATATCACCCTAATCCAGATCTTGTCATTTTTTTGCTAGGTATAAAGACCTGCTTGTTGTTGCAGTGTGTGAGTTCATGTATTTTTTAACATCACGCTTGGTTTTGAAGACCTGGCCAATCTGAAATGGTTTTACATGAACCTCTCCATGTGAGCATGTACTTGACTTATTCAACTCTTTTAGCAGTCTCTTCCTATCATCTTCATGAAATCCCGCAAATTGATTATAATTAGTGGCAATAACTTCCAACTCATCATCAACCATGTCATTCACTTAATCTTTTGAATGATTGTTCAAGATTCCATGTTCATCTACATCAACAGAATTATGGAATTCACTCATGTCTACATCTACATCAAATTGTATGTTAGACTCATCCACATTATATTCACTGTCATCAGAATCATCTCCACTATCCTCAGAACCATGGCCACTCTCAGAATAGAAAGCCTCTCCACTATCATCACTCACCATATCCTCTAGATAATCCACTTCTGGTTGTTGTTCAAATGAAGTTTGAACATTAAACTCAACATCATAATCAGCATAAAGTGAGTAATCCTCTATAAATGGTTCACAGTCATCAACTATTGCAGTATTAGCTCCATCATCAGGTGGGCAGCTTGGTTCCTGTACATGGTAAGTTCCCAATGGTTCTTCAATTTCAACTGCACTAGTGATCACTTCTTCTTGAGTTTCAAGTTCATGATTCACCACTTCCTCTTGAATGACATGACTTTGTTTGCTAGCTTGTGACTTATAAATGGCATAATTCTCTTTGAGTAATCATGCCCTTCATCAACATCTAATACTTATGATTGTTCATAATCAGGGTTCATAGACTTGTTTAGATCAAGCTTTCTACTACATGATTCTGCTTTTCTCCTACAAGGTTTCTTTCTATTCATTTCAGGTGACACATTATCAGGCTCCAACTCTTCAATAACAACTTTAGAATGAGACTTGTAATTGTTGGATTAATGTCTAAGTCCATAACTATAATTGGTAAGACTTGACCCGACCCGGCATGGTCCATTTGGGTTGCATGGCATTATGCATTTGGATAGACTATAATGAGAGAAATAACACTTAAGGTTTGTTAATATATTATAAGTTCTAATATATATTAATAAGATTATTTAATTAGTATTGATCAAGAATTAATCTAGGATTAATTAAGTGATCAAAAGAAGACTAATTAAATATATGGGTTGATTGTGTAAATCATCCATACTTATATAGTGGGCTAATGCTCCATGGATTGCCAAGTTGGGCTAAAACCCATAAGATGCTCCATGAATGCTCCATGGTGTATTTGTACCCATGGATCATGGAAATGAAAGGCTATGAAAATTAGGGTTTACATGGTGTAACCCTAACTATATAATGATCTTATTCTTGGAGAAAATTGGCCACTATGGATAATAGGAAGGGTAGCCGATTTTCATGAAGTGTGAAGTTCTCTCAAGTCATTCCATGTGTATTTGGTGTTGTGTGAACCATTTGAGGTGTCATACTTAGGGCACTAGGCACTCAAGCTTCATGAAGACATTCAACATCACAGAGGTATGTAATTCTAACTTGATATATTCATTTGAATCAATGTTATTATGCTAGTTAGGATGAATACCTTGGAAAGATCATATTTGCATGTATAATAGAGAAAACATAGATCCAAGGTATTTAGGGTTGCATGTACACTTAGGAGTGTTAGAATGCTCAAAACCCAACAGTGGTATCAGAGCCTAGGCTTGCTGTCTCTTATACTTGATGCAAATGTGTTTTTTCAAAGTTGAATCTGTCCAGAACATAAAACTCAACGAGTTTATGCCAAAAACTCGATAAGTTCTTCATGTTGGGAATGAACTCGATGAGTTTCTCAAGGAACTCGATGAGTTTTGGGTGCTGACAACTTGTTGTTTGCTGTTTTGGCTGGAATTAGACTAGGAACATTACCCTAAGCTGTTTTTGAACTTATAACTTGTTTTTGATGTGGTAATGTTCATGCTAATCCAATTTCAAAGGTAATTGTCAATAGATTCATGTTTTGTATTAGTTTAAAAGTTATGCTAATTACATGAAAAAGTTTGATGTGAATTATCTTTGTTCATATGAGTTGCTTAGATTAATAGATAAGTTAATTGATTATGTGTTTTCAATCCATTTTAATCTAAGAGATGATTCTAAAATGTGTTTGTGTAACTTATCCTCAAGTTACATGAAAGGTCACATTTAAGTTTCATAAAAACTCATAAAATTTGGCAATGGTTACAAAAAATGAAGAGTCTTGTCCTCAAGTTATGGAGGTTCAAGAGTCACTTCATTAAGTAACAAAATGTGTAACCTTAATTAATTCCATAAGTTACAAAATAAAGAAAAGTTACATTCTTTTATTGGTTTGAAGTCTTCCATAACTTGTCCTCAAGTTATGGAACTTGAAGAGTTTTTTAATTAAAACTACTTTAAACACATAAGTTATGAAATTAATTAGTTTTGAATAGTTTCAAAACTTGCCCTCAAGTTTTGGAGTTTGAAAAAGTTTTCACTCATGAATACTTCAATTCCAAGTTAACCCTTAGAATTTTAAAAGTTAAAATTCAACCCTTATACTTTATAATATTATAAGTTAATAATATATATATATATATATATATATATATATATATATATATATATATATATATATATATGTATATATAAGAGTAAAGTCAGTCTTACCTTTAGTAGGCCTCATTCATGAAGCCGGTCTATAAGGGGGGGGGGGGGTATAAGGTTACTACCTATAAAATGGCAGTTTAATGGGTGTCCACTCTTACTCACCGCTTCCTTGACTAGTGGAGGGTCGTTAGCCGAACGAATAGGACAAGGGTTATAATTCTCCTTTCATTAAAAGTATTAATGATAAATACTAAGTAACTAAACCTTTTATAAATACTCAATCTTAGTTACTTAGGAAAAAGTGAATAAGGTGCTAATCCATGAAATTACACTTTGCACTTTGTTTAAGTCAGTTAGTGGAGCATGTGTGGTTAACCGGCACACTAACTCGTATTTAACAAGGTAGGCAAAGGGTAACTTAATATTTATCATAGTATCAGTGGAGTGTGTGTGGTTAACCGGCACATCGATTAAGGGGTAAATATTAAGGGTACCCAATATATTTGCATGGTTACTTCACACCTTGTTTTGTGATCCTCGGCGTCCCAGTCATAAAACCTGAAGGGCACACTCGAGATTGAAACATGCCATTGAAAATTTCAATGAATCTCAAAGATCTAGGAGTTTCAAAACCAATTAAAACCTAATAATACATTTCGTTTATCTTGGTGGAAATTGGTGAATCGTCATTCACCTACCTTCAAATATTTTATAGCTTGGATTACGGAATCCCTCTTCCAAATTATAAAAGTATTGTGTTGGGTCCTAGCCTTAATATTTCATATTGGGTGTTATATTAAGGACTTTAAATCAACTATCTTGAATATCTCCCAAAAAAGATGTCTGGTTTAGACATTTATGATCTTCCCAAATCTTTTGAAACAAGCTTTCCTAAATGAAGATGATATCCCATGGAAATCATACTTCTTTCACCTCCTCCAATTATTCTCCCTAACCCACAATTACTGAAAAGTTTAAGGTCACTCAAGCCCTATGTCACACCCTAAAACTGGAAAGGCGGAAACGTTCTGGGGTGGAGGACGTCATGTCAAGTATCACAACATATGCAGTATAGTAATCAAAGTACAACAAGCATTGCATTAATAGTAAATTTTTTTACATAAGTTACATTTCATAGCAACATCAAATTAAATACAGAACATAACATAGATGCAGCTCGGTTCTAGGCTGACTTCACAAAAGCTCCCGGGATGTACCTGTCTATCGATGACCTGAGAATACAAGTTATTTTAAAAGCGAGTATCAGCATTTTTATAATGTTGGTGAGTTCATAAGTATTTAGTGTCATTTGTATAAATACACATTTTTATTCAAAATAACTTTATGAAAGATAGTAATCTAGAATCTACGGTGTATTAGCGTTCTTTCCAGAAAATCCTATATTTTTCTAAATAAAAGCAGTCTTCTACCAAGACCCGATAGATTTATGTTTTAAGGAGTAATTTTCCCCAAAATACTGTCATTACCATAATACAGTTTTGACTTTAAAGGAATTATGAGAAAATCACAAGTAAAAATACTAGGGGAAAATAACATATACCTCAGCAGTAATACTGCTGACTAAAGCAAATGAAAACATAGACTCCAGGGGAGTATCGAGTGAATGATACACCTGGCTCAGTCTAACACAAGGAAGCACAAACTCCAGACAGTATCGAATGAACGATACAGCTAGCAAAGTCTAAAACAAGGAAATACAAACTCCAGACAGTATCGAAGGAACGATACAGCTAGCAAAGCCTAAAACAAGGAAATATAGACTCCAAACAGTATTGAATGTACGACACAGGTAGCAAAGTCTAAAACAAGGAATACAGACTCCAGACAGTATCGAATGAACGACACAGCTAGCAAAGTCTAAAACAAGGAAATACATACTCCAGACAGTATCGAATGAACGACACAGCTAGCAAAGTCTAAAACAAGGGGTGAATGTGAACTCGTATGTAACCATGCTGATCGACGATAGAGTATCCGATGACCCTCCAGGTCACGCGTAAAGGTAGTGGCATTATGTCACCCATGGGCCTTACCGGCGCGAACTGTAGCTAGCAGTCAGGGTGTGGTAGTGTCGGTCCTGTATAGATCTATACATATGATGTTCGCTCTCCTTCCCGGAGACTCTAGTTACACGGCGATGGCGCTATGATGCGTCGTAGAGGGAAATAGTGTGTCACATTCTATCTAAAGTATTATAATATTAGTATAGACTCCCAAGTGAACTGACTCCTGAGTAAATCTTCTTACTAGAGAGAGAGGTAGTGAGAGAGATAGAGAGGGAGATAGAGAGAGAGATAGAGAGAGAGTAAATAGAATCTCCTAACTATTCCTATAATAGTTACTAATGTTTCAGGTATATGAATGATGAATGGAAGGATGCCCTTACTACCCAAAGGAAATGAACTAGTTGATGGAAACCTTTATGTCTATATAGGTATACATTATATATAACTAAGATTTAAACGACCTTCAGATGGATAACCAATACCCACCAGACCACATCCCAACGAGGAAAAGGAAATAGGGCGAACTAGCCGTTCTAAGTCCTTTAAACATTATTTATATAACTATACAAATATAGGCATGCATTTAACGAAATAAGAGCATAGAAGAAAACTTTGGTAAAACCTTTGGAAAATCTTTACAAATAAGAATTTACGCCTTGATGTCATTTTGTAAAACAAGCTTTGAAAACCTTTGGAAAACCTTTGAAAAACCTTTCATAAACAAGCTTTGAAAATGATTTGATAAAATAGTTTAAGTGAAGAAAACCCTTGTTTGAAACACTGATGTAACAGGTTTTGAAGGAAAACATACAGCATGAAAGATAGTTTGAGAAGGATCTAAACAAGTAACAACGTTTTGGAAAACCATCTGAAGTAATATACTTGGTAAAACAGATGAAAGTGTAGTAAATCCTTTTGCATGCGGGTTATTAATCACATATGATTGATATGATAACTAGCATGTTTCAACTTGTATTCCCTCCCCCATAAAAGCATTTAAAAACATTTAAAAGGTTAATTCAGGGGTATGAACTCACCTGCAGCGAGTGGATCGGATGGAAGTGTCGGTTGAGTGCTCGGTGTCAAGTGAAGACTTGAACACACTTAATGACCCTAGTAACATATGAAGACATATGTTTACATATAATTAGTGAATATAACACTAATTAAACACGTATAAACATCATAATGCGAAGAAAACACTTTGGTCATGTGCTAGGAGGCTATTGGGTTGCAATAAAGGAGTGTATGGCTTTATACGGAAATGTATGATCAAATGACCATGTTTGTTGGAGTTTACGGACCAGGGGAGTTTACTCCTGGCCATAAACTCTCAATTGGGTCTCCAAACAAGTCTTAAAACTACTATAACTTAAGTGGTTAAGTGCTCCAAGGCCTAAACAAGAGATTGGGTGAGTTTAAGGTCCAAAAATGGTCTTGTGTGGAGTTTATGGACTGGGGACCACTTCCCCATGAGTTTACAGCCGTAAACTCATGGCATGAAGTGCCAAATCATTTATTCAAGTCCCTAACTCATTGAGGTATAATTCTAGGTTAATGTCCAAGGCTAGGTGAAGTGATTAGGGCACATTTTGCACCATTTGAGGGAGTTTACGGCCTAAGAAGATCATGGGCCATAA